TTAAAGGTCTAAGGGAAAGACAGGAGTCTTTAGGAGAATAACAGCTATTTCCTGAGTAATCAACTCTGCTCAGGCGCTATTTTAAGCTCTATCATTTTCTCCAATTTATGGATGAGGAGACGAAGGCAAAGAAAGTTAAATAACTTCTTCAAGGGCTAGCAGGTGGTGGGGCTGGGATTTGAAACCAGGCCCTGAAGCCTGCAAGCCACACCCTCTGTCTTGTGCCCCCTCTGCTCATAAGGGACTTGAAGTTTCACTCAGACTTTCTCAAAAACAGCCTCTTGCTGACCATCACAATGGTCCCAGAACAGAAAGCTGGTCTAAGATGGTTACCCCCAGATTTTCAGTGATGACTCTGAGACTCCAAGGGTTGGACAGTCAGCTCCAGGACTCCCAGCCTATGAGCCACGGCACCAGGCACTAGGCCTGGCTCTTCTCCCTAAACCTGCACCCTGCTTCCTGGAGCTCCATGGGAGTGACTGGCCTTCAAAAGAAACAGGTTCCCAGCAGCCCAGGAGGCTGAGGCAGGAGGATTGGGAGTTCAAAGCCAGCACTGAGTAACTCAGAGAGACCCTGTCTCTGGAGAAAATATTTTTAAAGGGCTGGAAATGTGGATCAGTGATTAAGCGTCCCTGGGTTCAATCCCCAGAATCAAAAAAAAGAAAAGAAAAAGGGAAGGGGAAGGGAGAGGAGGGGAGGGAGAAAAAGAAACAGACTGATCAGTGGGCCCTTTCTCAGAGAACTGCTGTGCCTGAACACAGGGAGGGGAGGCGCTGGGGTGTGCACAGCCTCACAAGAGGGAAGCATCACCTTGTGCAGTTCACACTGAGGCTTTGCTATTTTAAATAAGGCAGGGAAGTACCAGTGACAGGTCTGAGTTTCAAGGAGTGTCGTATGCTATTTCTCAGCTCACACAGGGTAACAGCAATAACAGGCTGGGAAGATGGCCAGATGGCTGGGTGCTGGCAAAACCATGATGTTGCTGGGATTTGCCCTCAGACTTCTTCCCTCCCTCCACAGGCCACTCCCTGTTCTAAGAACTTTCCTCCATGGGCCACTCCCTGTTCTAAGGACTTCCCTCCATGGGCCATTCCATGTTCTAAGGACTTCCTTCCATGGGCCACTCCCTGTGGACAGACCCTTCCATTGCTCCCTTCCCAGCAGGACTCACTGTCCAGGGCCCACTGTGTCAGGCTCCATCCCCTGCCCCACACTTGAACACTGACACACACTCTTCTCTCCACCCAGAGTCCCTCCTGCTGTCTGCTCCCCAGTCCCTCTGCATGTTGACAGCCTGTCTACTCTTCCAGTGCCCACGTCCAGTGTCTCATCAATGCCTCCCTTGGCCCACCAGAAGGAAAGTCATTTCTTCTTTTCACACCTCTCTCTTCATACTTCTTACATGTCAACCACCAAACTCTGCCCTATATATAAGCCCCTTCTATGTCTGACATACCACTCCCCACTTTCTGGATTGTAATAAGCTCTTAAAGGCAGCAGTTGACCCCCTGTACTGGGGCAATTGGCAGGGCTGATATAGACTCAGAGAAGACCCATGGCTAGCTGTGGAAAGGCACAGGGGCCAGCATCCCTCCATGCCTGTCTTTACTCAAAGGTCTGGGCCCCAGCAGAGCAGGCTGCCTGGAAGAAGGAGCTCTTTTGGGCAGGTGGGGCATTTTGTACATAGCATCTAAGAGGCTAGCATGCTATTCAGCCTATGAAACCAATATTGGGCTCACCTGCACTTAGGGGCCCAGCTACAGTGGATATTTTTAAACGATGAATGACATAAAAGTTACTTCTATTAAACTTTGGAATCCTAAGCCTCTCCAATAGGGAATGGGTATAATCCATGTCATGGCACTTATTACACTAGGAGCACAGATCTGCAACGTATACCCCATTTATTGGCTCAAGGAAGAGTTTGTTTCAAACCAAGCAGCTCATCTACCCTGGGAGCAGTGGCCTCTCAGGGAAGGATGCTGTTCAATCTCCCATCTGACTTTCTCCCTGGATCCACAAGAGCCTCTCCATGCAAGGAAGAGTCTATTTTCTTCAAGCTTTATTCTCAATCTTCCCTGTAGCAAGAAAGCTGATTGGATATTGGGATTTTTAATGGTTTTGTCCGAAAGCCATTCAAAATGAAACTGAAATGCCAATAAGACTAGTGTCAAATGGAGTCGATGTTAAGTGGAAATGAACTTGAAACAAGATGGGGTTACTGATAACTGAAAAGAGATGATGGAGGTCCCTTGGCTCTGTGCCAGTGAAGACAAAAGGGCCACCCAAGTCATGCTGCCACTGTGTGTCCATAGCCTCCTACACAGTGGCTCTTCAGAAAGGTTTAACAATGTTTTGCTTTTTTAAGTTGATCTTTCCACTCTTTCTGTATAATTGATTTGTTTCAGCAAATCTTTACGTGTGGTGTGTGTGTGTGTGTGTGTGTGTGTGTGTGTGTGTGTAGAGAGAGAGAGAGAGAGAGAGAGAGAGAGAGAGAGAGAGACAGAGAGAGACAGAGAGAGAGAGATTTCAGCTCAACCCGTTTGCTGAATACTCACATCTGTATCCCTAGTGCCTAAGCCAATGAGGTTTAGCGCATTTTCAAACAGAGACGACATGTGAATTCTGCAATGGCTAATTTCACAGTGTTTGACTTCCTTTCTAATAGGCTATGCAAATACTCAAGCAGTGGAGGGTCTGAGCCTCATGCTTAGCTTGGAGCCCATTAGAACCAGACTCCTCCTTGGAGGTCCCCACCATATCTCCCCCTGGCTGTTTTTTTGCATCCTTGAGCACTGCCATACAGAGCCTCATTAAGACCTTTCTAGGATGCACAGCTCTTTGATTATTCAGAGCGGCAGGTCCTTGGGGAAGCCTGATGCACCACTAGGCTCACCTGATTCTCCATTTGTATGGTGTATATCACCTGCAGGGAAAATTAGCAGTTGAAGCTCAGGCTCCATCTCTCCTGTTTCCTTCTCCTCTGACCGCTGCCTTGTGGGGAACTTGTTAAGATTTTTCTATTTGATTTTGTTTTGTCCCTGGCTAGTACTAAAGATTATTTCTTTTCCATCTTTTCTACTTCGTATCTATTTTCTGTATAAATGACTCTGCTTTATAGCTTCTAATTATCTCAGATGCAATCCTTCCCCACCTGCCCCCACCCCAGCCCCCCCCACCACACACACACACACACACACACACACACACACACACACAGACTCAGATTTGCCACATCACTATTTCAGTGAATCCAACATCAACCCTGCCTTCCTCATGAGAGTGGGGAGCAAAGTCAGTTCCTAGAGGGAGCACCTAGCTGAGTCTCCTTCCATACCCGGCCAAGGCGCCATCTCAGAGGAGGATCAGAGGGGCTCCTTAGTTAAATGAGGTCTCCCAGGTCTTCTGTGGAGGGGGAGCATGCATACCAAGATCCGTCCTATATTCCCAGCCCTGCCCGTCAATGGCAACCCATCCTAACCCCCATCTGGAGACAGCTCTTTCACAAAACAGACCATTAATTGGTCTAGATTAGTGGGAACTTAAAAGTGTTTTTCTTTCAATTATAAGAGTAAAGCATGATCATTTAAAAAAATCCATGTATAACATCCAGTAAATAAAAAACAAAAGGTCAAAGTACGCTGCTTACAATACCTTTTCACTCCCCCTCTCCAGGGAGGACCAACTTTAATGGTTGGAAATTTTTTTTCTAAGCACATACAAAATAGATACATAGAATTGGTTGTTTTTTAAAAAATAGGATTAAAAAAACATCTAGGATCCAACCATACATGCTATTATTTATTTATTCATTTGTAGGTCATTTCAAAGAATAATAGATTAATTTTAAGTAATAACTTTTTAACCTATCCCACCTCTGGTTTTCTCCTTATAAAAAATTATAGCCTCTTTTCATGTTATTCCAAATCACCCTCCAAAAAGATATTAATCCTCCCTCTCTGCACCATTTCTGCATTTTGTGAAAATTTTTACCTTGGGATATATATTGTAGTATTGAACTAGGGACTCTTCGAGGTCCCTGGCTTCCCCTTCTTGCCCCCTGAGGAAAGGGTCCTATGCATTTGTCCATCCCTCTGTCCTGAGTCCCAGGATGTGGCCCGGTACATCAGGGACTCCTCGGGTGAATGCTTTGCAAAGTGAACTGGAGGAGATGCTCTCCACACATGGCTGCCTCGTGCCCCTTAGTTCACCCCTGACTATCCCCTGATTTAGTTTTCCCAGCAGCTTGGGTCAGTTCAGATTGGATGGGCCAAAAAGGGAACAGCCTCTGACACCCAACATGCCCTATTTGGTGGCATATGGATGTGGGGGCAGCCAGGGATCTGGGACAGTATATCCATCCCGCACTATTACTTGTGCCTGCAGGGAAAGAAGGGACCAGGTACTGAACACAGGAAAGAGAGAGGTCACCTGAGACTCTCCTCTCTGTAAAGGCTCACAGAAAAGGAAGGGAGATGAGGCTCTGGAAGGGGTGGAGGAGGCCCTTGGGACAGAGGTCTGGGACTTGACTAGTTGTCCCAGGCTTTGTTTGGGTGGGACCAGGTCACAGAAGGTGGCTGGGCTCCACAGACCCCCATGAGCAGGAAGGGAGCTTGCCACTCCCTGGACCAGGCTTCTGCAAGGGCAGCAGGGCCTGGGACAGCCAGTAGAGCTGGGGGCTGCAGAAGAAGGTCAAGAGAATCCCTGGGGAAGTGGCCAGGGGAGAAGAGAGCCCTGGGGTCCACTCCCATGTCTATTCTGACCAGCTTGGCCTTCCTGGATTTTAGTATCCCATTTGTAAAATGGAGCGAATGGCCTTTGACCTGCCTACCTTAAGGACTGCTGAGGGTCAGAGAAGAGGTGACATGGGGACTCGCCTCATCCTGGAGAGCTGCATAGCCCTGCGGTCCGGCAGTTCATGACCACGGTTTTTTTCATCAAATGCTGTTACAATGACTCGGGCTGAGGTCTGACTGGAGTCCCCTCTCTCCCCCACACAGGGCAGTCCTTCTACTCCCGGGTCCTGGAGAACTGCGAGGATGTGGCTGACTTCGATGAGGTAGGCACCGTGTGGGGCCTCTCCTCGGGCTTCTCCAGAATCCCTGAGCCCAGGGGGGAGCAGTTGCCCTCTCTGCCCTCAGGGGACACATCTGGCCCCAATCCTGGTGGCTTGCACAGAGCTCCTCAGCTCTCCTCACTGCTACCTGTCAGGAAATGGTGTGGGAGGGTGTGGAGGAGCCTCTTCTCCTCAGTGAGAATCCTCCCCTGTGTGTGAATGATTCTGCAGAGAATGGCAGACCAGGCCCAAATCAATGGTCCACTGTGTGACTGGGGCGTTTTTTCTACATTCCACAGGGATGTAGGCCTGAACCTGAGCTGAGGGCTCAACGGGGTAGAGCAAAGGGTGGAGGACCCAGGCCAACCCCACCAGGGCTTCCACAAGGCCAGTCTCATGCAGACTACACTCCTTTCTAAGAGCCTAGATGCTGTTCCCACCTAGATCACCGCAAGCTTCCTATGATGGAGACACTGGGGGACACACAAACACAGTGTTTCCCCAGATAGCTTGCTTTTCTTTTGAACTGCAGGATTCAGGGTTGAACATGAAAACATTTGCCTCAGTTTATGGGACACTGTCCCCTTGGTCCCACAAGGCCCCACTTCTGCGTGTACATATGTATGTCTTCTCTTTTAGCCCCATCTTTCCCTCCATATGCAACTGCTCAAATGTATGAATGCATATCTTTGCGTTTCTTATGATTTTTGCAAGATCTGTACTGTTGTCTTATAGAGCATGTGTTTGTTTACTTAAATGGCAATGTGTTCAATATTTAATTTTCTTTCCTGCTTTTTCCACAGTGTACTATTTTTAAGCTCCATCTGTGTTGTAGAGTGTTCCATGGAACACAGCCAACACAGGATGGTGACAAACCATCCTGGTTTGCCTGAGACTGAGAGGGTTCCTGGGACACAGACTTTTACTGCTAAAACTGGGAAAGTTCTGGGAAAACCAGGCCAACAGTGATATCTCATTGTTGTTTTAATTTACATTTCTCTGATTACTGATGGAGTTGAGCATCTCTTGATATGCCTTTAGCCTTTTTAGTTTCCTCTTTTCTAAATTGTCCATGTTCTCTGCCCTTTTCCTGATTGGGGTGGTTGTCTTTTTCTTGTTGGAAAGCAAGTCTGCTTTGTATATTCCAGACATCAACCCCTGTTGGTTTAAATACTGAAAATACTTTCTCCCAGTCTGTCATCTGTCTATGGACTAGGTCTATGGGGCTCCTCATTGACCAAAAGTCTTTAACCCTTAATGTTTTCCGGTTTTTATGAAGTCTTTCCCCCTCCCACAAGTTACTAATTCTACAACATTTTCTGACTGTATACTTACATCTCTTCCATTACATTTGGTGTTAGATAGAGGTCCAGTTTTATTTTTCTCCATTTAAGAAATTGCTTTTCCTAACATCAGCTTACTAAACCATCACCTTCTCTCCACTTACTGTCTCTGGAGGCCTGGGTCTGAGCCTCCTGCCCTATCCCATTAGTCTACAATCTACTCTGGATCTTTGCCACAATGCCCACATGAATATGGCTCTTCTGTGTGTAGGTTAATATCTAGTGAAGCAAGTTGTATTTTCTTACTTTTCTATTGTTTTTAAAGTTGTCCTATATGTGAACCTTTATTCTTCTGGATAAATTTTAAAGTAAGTTTATCAAGTTCTTCCAAAAGCCAGCTGGGATTTTGATTGAGATTGCATTGAACTGAAAAATTAACTTAGGATGCTGTTGGGTGTTTGTAATATTAAAACTTCTATTCAAATGCCCTATCAGGCTTTATTATTATTTTGAGTTTTCTATATAGAAATCTTATGTCATCTTGATTATTTCCTAGATACTTTATGGTTTTGATGATATTGTGAATGGTTATCTTTACTTTTATTACCTTTTTTTTTAAAGTTAATTATTGCTGACATAGAGAAATGCTTTCAACTTTTTTCTAAATTCTGCTCTTTTTTTCTGGCAACCTTGCTGAACTCCTACGGATTCTAATAATTTGTTTATTGATTCTGCTTTTCTTAAGCACATGATGTATCATATGATCTACAAAAGAAGTGTTTTGTCTCCTCCCGTCTGATCTTTACCACCCCCCGCCCCGAGCTTTCTTATCTTTCTGTAGAACCTTGGACATGATCTCTAGTGCTATATTAAACAGCAAAGTGTTCTTGAAATAAAAGAATATAAATGCATCTAAAGTTTGATCATTAAATGCAATTATTGTGGTAGAGTTTTAATATCTAACCTTGTCTTACTAGTTCTCTAAGAGTTTTCATCATAAAACATCATTAAACCTTATCAAAGTATTTTCCTAAACCATTGAGACGATCACAATTTCACTCCTTTAGTACATTTTGTAATGTATTAGTTTCTAACACACTGTTAAATCCAGTTAACAAATATTTTTACTTAGAATTTTTGCAGAAAAGTTTCACAGTGTTCCAGAATTTCTGGAACAACTCATAAGAAGAATCCTTCTTTCTTGATATTTTGGAAGATTCAAATGTAAAAAATCTAA